AAAACAAAGGCAAAAGACTGACATTGCTTGACTTCGGGTTTTACAATAAAGTAATCAAGACAGTAGGGTGTTCACAAAATAACAATATTAATGATGATAGGTAAAAGATTAATCAAAGAGGATACAGAGTACAAAAATATGCTCAGCTATATGTTCAATGTAGAGTTATAAAAATATCTTCAACTGGTATTTTAAAACAAAATAAAAGCACAATAAGAGAAAGGATAGTTTTTTCACTAAATGGTGTAGAAAAGTAGACATCTAAATACAAAACAAGGAATCTAAACAAAGACCTCACACTTTTCACAAAAATTAACTCATAAAATATTGTAGATCTAAATGTAAAACACTAAACGATAAAAATCCCACAAAGTAATATATGAGAAAAAAATCTAGGTGTTCTTTGGTTTTGGAAATGCAATTACCAAAGGCACAATTCTTGAAAGAAAAAAATACTTGATAATACTTTATTAACATTAAAAACTAAGGCTTTATGAAAGACACTGTGAAGCAAATTAGAAGAAAAGCCAGACTAGAAGAAAACATTTGTAAAACACACACATGACATACTCTATCACAGGATTTAGCAATCATGCTTCCTAGTATTTAACCAAATTAGTTAAAAATATATCCACAAAAGTCTCTGCACATGCATGTTGATAACAGTTTTATAATTGCCAAAATTAGGAGCAATGAAGATGATCTTCAGTGGGTACATAGATGAATAAAATGTACATTCAGACAATAGAATATTATTTGGCTAATATAAATGAGCTCTAAGCCATGAAAGAAATGGCATAGCCTCAAATGCATATTAATAAGTGATAGAAGATATTCTGAAAATTCTGATCACTGTATTTTTCCAATTACATGGCATTATATAAAGACAAAACTATGAACACTATTTAAAATAAATCAGTTGTTGCCAGGGGTAAAGGGAGGGAACAGTCATAGGTAGAGCATAGATTTTCAGGACAGTGAAAATTATTTTATGATACTATGCTAGTGGATACATGTTATTATACATTAGGCAAAACCAACGTAATGTATAGCACCGAGAGTGGAATCTAATATAAACAACAGACTTTGGTTAAGAACGGGGTTACCAAAGTAATTCTTCCACTCTGGCTGAGTGGAGCAGGTTGTGCGCAGAGAGGCAAGGAGTATATGGGAAATCACTGTGCTTTCCATTCACAAGAACATTAAAGTCTATTAATAATAAAAAAATGTTAAGGAAATCCTACAGAATAAGGAATAAGATTACCTTTTTTGCAATATGTATATTTGACAATGTTTTAAAATCCAGAATTAAAAAGAAGTCCTAAAATTCAATAACAAAAGCTATAAAATAGTCCTACAAAAATGGGTCAAAGATTTCAACAGCTATTTCTCCAAAGATAGACAAAGGGCTAATAAACTCATGAAAAGATGCTCAACATCATTAATCATTAGGGAAATGCCAATTAACGTCACTATTAGATTCTACTTATATCTAGTAGGATGGCTATAATGAAAAATTAAAAAGGAAAATAGCAAGTCCCAGACCTCTTTCAAGAATTCATTGAATTCATTTATCTTCTCAGCCAGGCCTATCCTTATCATGCTATTTATACATACACACATATGTTTGTATGTTATATATGTGTGTATTTCTGTGTGGTTGAATATTTATCTATCTATAAGGATGGTATGTTTTTTTCTAATTAACATGAATATATGATATATGTTCATGAAAAATTTTGTTTTATTTACTAATGAATAGTAGATATCTTAAACATTGCCTGACATGTAGTAACTACTTAGTAAATATGTATTAAATCAATTTTATATTTCTATCTTTTCTGTTTCCCTTGAGTATTGATAGGGTTTTAAAAATCTTATCAGTCTTTCAAATCCTATCTTGGACTTGTGTCCTTTTTCATTAATTTGTGTTACTAAATAGTTTCTGATATGAGGATATAATTTTTATTCTAAGTATTAACTTAACAAGATCCACAGGTTTTGTTATGAAGTATTTTATAACTCTTTATATGCTCTTTCAGAACATTTTCTAATTTTATTGTGATTTGGGAGGTAGATATGAGTTATTAAAGCTATGTTCAAATCCTCACCAGTAGAGATTTTCTAGGAATTGTCTTGTAAATAATTTCCAGCCTAATTTAAAATACAATTTAATACAAATATTATAATAATTTAATTCATCAAAGATTTTGAAATGTGCTTAATACTTAAAAAGATCCTTTATTTTTATGATGTTATATTTGTGTTTAAAAATAATAGATATCTGCAGTTGGGGTGTGTGTGTGTGTGTGTGTGTGTGTGTGTGTGTGTATGTCTTCATTAGGTTCAGGGTACTAACCAACTATGTCAATCAAATGCCCTACATTTTTACTCATCACAATACAGAATTAAATTATTCATAGATTGCTTAAAATACTCTTAATTATAAATCAACAATAAAGTTGATACAAAACCAAAAATGGTTATTCTCCAAATGAGTCTTTATATCAATAGTAGTTATATTCAAATAAATATTTACAGTTCTTTATAGTTCCAATTATACAAATCATTTTCAATATCTCCTGTATTTTAGAAATGCTATTCAAATTACAAATAAAAATTCATTTTTTTCTGATAGATTTTGGTTTTAGAGTCTACATCGATCTATAGAAAATTAAAGCAGCAAGTACTTTTATAATTGATTGTTTTATTCTCCTCCACCAAAGTCTATGCTTTTTAAAAAAGGTTCTTTTTCATTCTTTCTGACATTTCCAGATTGTACATTTCTACCTAATCATATTTCAAAAGTTTTCTCTAGTTGTGATACATGTTCAACCTTAGAATTCTCAAAAAGAAAGAAATAAAAGAAAAATAACAAAACAAAAGAAAGAAAGAGTAGACATTAAGTCCAAATACTTGATTGGTTGCTAGCCAAATTTCAGTTGCTATAGTAATTCTTTTAATTTTTTCTTCATATTCTTCTGGGTCTAATTAGAACATCAAAGTTTATAGTGTATGCAGGATAATAACACCACTCATAATTCCAATAGCAGATTCTAGCCACTTTATAATTAAAACATAACATTTAAGACCAGTACCCTGGGAATTTGGTTGATCTTTCAAGTGCATAATAAAAATAAGCAATGCTAAATTAAAATAAAGATTCTTATGGAATAAAAACCACTGTCAAAATTGAGGTCACTTTTAGGTTTTCATTTCTAACTTTTGTTTATTTGTTCTAAGGAGTTGGAAAAGTTTTCCTTTTTCTATGCAGTGTATGAAAGTAATTCAGCTTCCTTGCACCAGTGTTAATGAAATAAGTAGGTCTAAAAAAAAATAGAGAGATTTTGTAATTCAGGTCACCACAAAGCACCTTCTGGTACAACTTTCCCTCCAAAGGGTTAAGTTAGTTTAGTCCTTATGTTTTTGTAAAACAATTACTAAGACAAAATTTTTCAATACAATTCTGATACCCTTAGTCATCATCATATTTTCCCAAATAGAAAAAACCAAGAATGATTCATGACTCCTGAACCTAAATATAAAAAGAAAAATTTAGCCATAAATGAATTGATATTTTAAGTACTGAAAACTAAAGTACTGAAAATCACATTTAATTACATCTCTGTGAAAGATACCTAGCAACATTACAAATAAAAATCTAAAGCATAACATCTGATTTATTTAACAACATAATAGATCTGTGTGATATTGTAATTAAAATGGCAATGAAATAACTGTATAAGCATTTGATGCAAAGTTAACTAAAACGCAGCAGAAAGTATTTGATGGAAAAGATCAATGCTAGTACAAAATTCAAGATAAACCAAGTATTTTGCTGAGCTTACATATGATAAAAATAGATATTATAAGAAATAAGACTCACAATTCAAGGAACAAATAGCTATTTGATTTAAAGAGAACTTCATTATCTTTTTAAACATTGGATTCTTACACAGAAGTATTATGGTAGCTTGGGCACAGCAAAGGATCATAAATCAAAGCACCTGGGTCCTAGGACCAACTTTGTTAGCATTAGTTGTAGGAAGTTTTGAAAAAAATCTTACCCATTCTTATTGGTACTTTCATTTATGAAAAGCATAATTAATATCTGGCCCACTTACCTCTCAGGGCTTCTGTGCAGATCAAGTGGAGATCAGTTAAGGGCTTTGAAAGTTAAAAGTTCTACCTAAGTAGGAGCTCTTGCTATACTGAAGTAGTTTTTGATAACTCTAACCTAAGTTTGGTTTCAAGAAGCAAATAAAACCACACTGCTATATCCTGGCTCAGATATTATTATAAGTAATAGTGGAATAACTTGTCAACCTTCATCTTGACAATTTATATTCACCTCATTTGCAACTAAATGAAGCAGCGATTGGACTGTGCTACACCATTTTATAGGCTTACCAGGATGAGCACATATGGTCCATTTAGTGGAGGGTATTTTAATAGGCAGCATTTGTTCTGAGTTGATCTCCTCCTGCAATGGTTTTACATAGCTGATCTAAATCTTCATTGGGAGATCACTTTGTCCATTTGATATATTATCAGAGTAATTTTGTTTATCAGCTTATCAACTATGTTTGCACACAGAAATGACAACCCTCTGAAATGCTTCAAAGTACAGAGGTTCACCAACCCCAAATGAATTGACTTTGATGGATGTTTTGCTTCTTTTTTTCCAGCTAATTTCTTTCACATAATAAATACTTATTTCTGTTCTGTTTTTCTTTGAACATAGCAATCTAATTTAACTCCAATTTAACTCCAATTACCTCATACATACACACAAAAGCCATCAATTATTTTGAAATAAATTATGGCTCAAAATTAGGTATGAAAAGGGAGAAGGGAATGTATCTAAACAGATAAATCACGTCACCTGGATTCGCTTACTGAGACGTACCTACACTTTAAATTTCAACAAGGAACACACCACCTTGAGTAAGACTCGGGAGATGAAAGCATAAGCAAGGACACAGAACACTTGAACTTACGGCAAAGGTAAGTAGTTTCATCTGAATTATCAGCACAGTCATTCACAAAATCACACAGCTTCTCCTTTGCGATGCACTGCTTGTTTGCACACGTGAATTCTTCAGCAGTACACTTTCTGTCTGGGCTAAGTAAAGGGGAACAATCTTGAAAGGACACATCATCCACTGCTACATCTCCTATGTAACTGACACCACGTTTTGCCCTGAAGACAATCTAAAAAGAAAAAAAAAAAAAAGGAAAAGTCACTTAGAGTTGAAACTGTCAATCAAGAAGTTCAAAAGATAGAAGCAACAAATAGATCAAGCACATCAAACTTGAGTCTGATAAAAATACCTCCATAATGAAAGTGACCCAGGAAACTTAAGGACCATCAAAGGTTTCTGCCATTCTCAACACCTAAGACTGTGAGATGTGCAACACTGTTGTGTGTCTAGATGGTTAGGACATACAGCTTGGAAAACTGGCAGGAGTCATAACAAACTACCAGTGCCAAAACTAGACCTGCTCATTTCTTAGAGCCTCATCATACATGGAAGCAGGAGGATCAAAGGTTAATAAAGTACCAAGAGAAATTATGTACAAGCACATCCTTTATTTTGCTCAGTTTTTGCTCTTCTTCAGATCTAGCCACCCCAGAGGATTTGAGAGTTAAAAAGACATCAAGCCTCAAGGCCATGAGTTTTGCTAAAATCATCCAAATATTTGGAATTGAAGCAATCTTGATTTGCCTTTGATTAATGTATGTGATGAATGGAATCCCATGTGTGCTACTTTTTAAAAGCAGTTTTCCATTTGTATATACTTCAATAGATCAGAATTGATAAAAAATAATAAGAGAAACTAAAATTTTCAGAAAATCTATCTTTGGTTTGTAACAATACCTAATTGCTTGGAATGACAAAGAACACTGTTTCAGAGAACATGAAGAGTCACATATTGTTTATTTTCAGAATTCCGAATAATTGATTCAGTGTTTCTCTTAAATTCCACTGCAAGCTAAATATGGACATGCTAAAGTAAGAAATATTTTTAAGTCAGAACAAGAAGTAAAGATTTTCCTTATTGATTTTGCACAAATTACTTACTGTTACTAATCTCCTAAACAAATTTTAACCAATTCTGAAAAAAAAAATTTCTTGGAAGAAGGAATTTTAGTTTTTCCTTAAAATGAGATGTTTTTATATTTGTGTGAACATGAGTGTCTTCTTTTCAAGGTGAGAAGAGACAGAGTCATTGAAATAATGTTTCACATTATTAAAAGAAAATCATAATAGTTTTTGAATATTGAATTTCCCTAAAGGAAAATTGTTCTTCATAGTAGATGAGCCAGAAAAGATCAATATATTTGTGAAATAGAAGAGGAGCTTAGAAGGAATTAAAAGGTTAACTAGAAGAAAATGATAGGAACTACAACTCTCTTACAAGTGAAATTGAGCACTGGAAAAAAAAATTGATACACAAAGTGAAAAGATATTCTATTATCTGGATTGTCTAAAAATTTAAATGTGACATTATGCTTTCTGAATATCACAGTGCAGTAACTAATGAGTGTTTCACAATTAATTTGTTTACCTGCTTTAATCCCATTCCAATCTCAGTTGTCAATCACGTTCAAATGATTGAATCATTATTTCTCAATTTTTTTATTGTGTGGGTTGAAATTTCATAGACATAAGATTGACTCTTAAATGTTCTTAAAATAAGCAATTGTACTGCTCCTTTCAGGCAGAGTAAAATCTAGGTCAAATATATTAATAAAATTTGAAAGGCAATATAGAAGAACAGTTGGATTACAGATGGCCTGCCTACATTTCAACTCTGTCTCTGCATTTGGTACTTTATAAATAACTAGGTCAAGTTACTTAACTTTCAGGCATTTCTGTACTTTTATCAGTAGGATGAAGGTATAGTGTTAATAATATGTACTTCATAGGATTATTGGACAAAAAAAATGTGTCAATATTTTTAAATTCATAGAAAATATATCTAGCATTTATTAAGTACAATATAAAAGTGCTCAGATTACAAAATTATTACAATGAAAGATTTTGTTCGAATATAAGAGTTTTTAGATAAAAAACCATACAAACTTCCAACTTCTGCTTTAAGTATGCAATTTTTTACTTTATCTTATGCTTTTACTCAGGGTTACAGCACTCATCTCTCTGAGGCTAATGGAAATGATTATTGTAAGAACAGAAGAATTGTGAACAGTGTGATAATATATCACGGTATATTCCAGGAATTCTAATGCACTTTGTACAGAGTAGATGCTCAATAAGGGCAGCAGTGAGTAATATGAAAAAGCAAGTACTCATGAGCTATTAATATTTAAAGATTCAAGCAACTTGAGTCTACTTCTCTTCCATTAGATTTCAATATGTGAAAATTATAGATTTTCAAAAAGCCAAATTTATAAATGATTCCACTTGCTGAAACTCCCCTTTGTTATTATGAACATACATGTTATCATATAAACGTTCCATGTGCACAAAACTAAGTAAGAATTTATTGCCTAGGATGGAAGTCTGTGTCTTATGGCAGCAGAACCTTCTGCATATTCTTGTTAAGGATTCTTCTTGCCTCCACTTGAATATTTAGACTCATTTTAACAATAAATTTTATATTGTATAAGAGCATTAAATTGCTATCCAATCTTTACATGTTTAGATTGGACTTCATATCCTAAATTAGCTACAAATGATTCACAAAGAAACTGTATACTACAGTAAGAGGAAAAAGTCATGGGATTTTTATTATGCATATCACCTGGGAATTGGACATAATGCTATATCAATATAAACTACCCTATCCAGCCTGTGTTTCCATCCAAGTTGAAGGGGGCTCACCTATCAGAGAAAGCTCATGCCTGTAAATATATTTACTGAACATTCATAGTCATACCTTGGTTATCTGTGCTACAATATTTAGTAAATATCTTATCCCTTCTATCTAGAGTCCAGTAGTTTTAATGCCGTCAAATTAAGTTCCAGGTAGTTAAGACAAAAAGAAAATGTCCTCCTAATAAATAGTTCTGGATTCTTGCTCTGCAAATCCAAATCTTAACAAATCTTACCAGCAAAGCCTCGTATTCCAAGCAAATGCCCATGAAAGCTATGGCCCCTGGAGCTCTCGTTTGCTTGATAACCCATAAAAAATAAAACTTGTACCAAATATCTAGGCACATAATTATTTTAAGTGGAAACATTTTAATCTATGTCCCACTTGAATTTTAATATAGCTTGTATGTCTTAACCTCTATTATTATTGTAATCTATTTGAAGTCAAATGTAGCATAACATAATATTATGACTCTCCAAATAATTTTGAATTATATAAACCTTACATATAATAAGGCTCAATCCTATAAAGTGTTTTCAGAAAATTGCCTTTCAAGTCACATTTGGAACAACTATACCACGATCTTTGAGAATTTATTTTCAGAATCAAGGGAGGTGTTCTTTATATGTGAGAAGTGGACTAGGGGGTACAGGAAAGTTGCCATTCAAATTAAATGTTCCTAGAAGTATGTCTGTCTAATTGGGAGAACTTAGAGTTGTCTAGAATTGTAAATTTCTTATGGAAAGTACCATATGGAGTGTTAAATGTTGGGCCTTCACATAATGCCTCAAATTAGAAATGGGAAGACTGAGATTAAGTGGAGAAAATAAATTAGCATGAAAGGAAAAATTAACAAAAGGCTCTCTTGACAAAGCTAATTGGATTACAAACCTGTGTGTAGGAATGAATGCCTAAAAAGACTTCCACTTTCCGCCACTGTGCACCTTGTTGCCCCGTTTGAGCCCACACTTTAGAAGTCACATTGCCTTTCTTGATGAGTACCTGAGGAGATAAATCAAGTAATAGGTATTGAAATATTGTGTCTTGATAAATTTTAAATGTGTGGAATTTTCCTAGTTATTCTTAAAATTTTTAATATCTACCTCAAGTCCCTAAGAGAAAAGATGAGACATTTTTCATTTGTTTTTGACTATGAAGGTGCAAGAATGTGCCCTCGGGGTATCTCAAAAGCTTTGAACAATAAAGGTGTACATGAATATCTGTCAGTCAAGTACTAAGCTATCTGGGAACTATTTTATTAGGAACTCAACTACATTAGTTGTATAAAATTTGACAGCAGTTAACAGTTGACATCTTATATATTAAATAATATACTTAAATGGAAAATAATATGAAATTACTTCCTAAAAAACTCTGCTGAGAAAGACTTTCCTTATTCAAATAGTTAAAGGAGGCAGTGACATTACAGTGTGAGCTATTTAACTATAACATCACAAATGAGTGAATGAGTGATATGGGCACAGCACTGTAAAGTAAGAGCTCCCTATTCCACAGCATTTAAAAGAACAAATCCTCATCAGTACCTGCAAAATAGTTTGAACCTAAATGTCCCTCCAAGGTCCATGTGTTAAAGCACATGGGAAGCTATCCTTGAAAAATGTAAGGACGTTTTTTAGCATCAAAGCCAGCGAGGGGACAGGTCTGGCCTTGGGAACTTCCCATGGCACTCCCACGGAGACAGACTGCCCAATGTACATGACCTTCTCCTCTGCTCTGCTAGAAAGGTCTTGTGCAGCTGCATCCAAGATAAGAGTAACCTGTTAGAAACTGAGCAGCCTATCTGCCCCCACCTCTATCCTATTTTGGTGAAAAACGTCCTATAGAACTTCTTTGATTTTTTCCCCCCATATAAATAAAGCAGAAGTGGGCGCCTTTCTTTGTTAGAATCTGGACCTGTCTGGTCAGCTTGCCTGCCCTACTCCTGCTTTGAAACTACCTTCTGTGTACTGGGGTTATTTTGCCATTCTATTTTTCTTAGCTTTTATTTCTCAGCCAGCCCATTCCACGGAAGGACACCCCAGAGGTCATGAAACCTTTAACAGGTGGGACTTATAGGAAAATCTTAGATCACTGGTGAGGAGAGCCCTTGAAGAAGACAGAAGGACCCCAGCACCTTCTTCTTTCTCTCTTTTGTATCCTAGCCATGAAATGAGACATTTTGCTCTACAATGCACTCCTGAAATAATGTGTTCCCTCTCTATTGACCCCAAAACAATGGGATCAATTGGTTACGGGCTGGAACCTCCAAAAATGGAACAAAAATAAACCTTTTTTCTATAAATTGATTATCTCAGGTATTTGTTATAATGATGGAAAACTGAGTAACATAGTACTAACTCTCAACTCCAAAGAAAAAACTACATTAGTTTCATTAGACAAATAATTTTGAATCTTCTTTTAGAATGACACTAAATAAGCCATCAAGAGAGTAACCGATGATAATAGGAAAGAGGAGAATAATTCTACATCTGAAAATAATCAATTAATACAGCCTATTTAATTACATCACAACATACTTTTTAAAAATACAATTTGTACAACTAAAGAATTATTCAGATATAGTTTTGAAGGTTTAGACTTATTATTTTTTTATTTGTTCTGTTTAGTTATACATGATGGTTGAATGTTTTTTAACATATCATACATATATGGAGTTGACTTTTAAAAGTGAAAATTATTTTTAATGATATTATAATTTTTTAACCTAAAATCACATGAATTTTTTTATATGATTAGAATTTCCAGAGTAAATGTTGCTAGGAAAAAAAATCACCAAATTCTTGGTCTATAAAATTCAAGATAATTAAAAATATTACCAAAATCAAAAAATATAATTTCTTACTAATAAAATAAAATGATAATTGAAAAATACTGAAAATAATATATAGAAACCAGGTATGGTGGTGCATGCCTGTAGTCCCAGTGGCTCAATACGCTGAGGTAGAAGGATAGTGAATTCAAAGGCAGTCTTAGCAAAAGCAAAGTACTCAGCAACTCAGTGAGACCCTGTATCTAAATAAAATATAAAATAGGGCTGGGGATGTGGCTCAGTAGTCGAATGTTCAATCCCTGATACTCCCTAAAATAATAATAATATATAGTAAAATATCATCTTTGTACGATTATCACAGTAGTACAAACTACTATGCATTCAAGCAACATATTAATAATACAACACTTAATGTTATTTATTAGGTCAAGCATAAAAATAAGGATATCATTGCTATTTTAATTATCTGTTAGTTTATAAATTTTTAATTCATAATATTCCATTCACTAATACAAGTTCTTATTCTGAAAAGATAAAAGCATGTTTATGATCATTAATCTTACCCACAAACTACACCAGCTAAATAATGTTTTACTAATGAAAACTCTATAGTAGGCTATTTTGATTGTTTTGGATGAAATCAATTTTAAAAAGTCAATGTAAACCAAAAACATAAATTATAATCCATAAGACTATGTGAACACTTTTAAATTAATAAAACACACACAGGCATATATACATACAAATATACTTTCAAACTACTTTTTATAAAACATTTAATCTGCCATAGAGTTTGAAATTAATCTATAAGTTTATTGTTTCCGATTTAAAAAAAAATCTAATAGCATTTTTTAAAATGTTTATGTTATTTAGAAAACTGATAGTTGATAATGGCCAGGAAAGTTCTAGAAAATAATCAATAATAAATGGACGAGGAAATTCTCAGCATAAATATTGCAATAAACCTATTAGAAAAGAAGTGGTTAAGCAGCAGGTTGGCAGTCTCTCTTTCTTTGTATAGAGGAAGAAATGGTAGGTAACCTAAGCCTCATCTTGTAGCAAATGTGCTAAACGCAAATTTAATTGGCAAAATAAACTAACAGCATATGAAAGGAAGAGAGTCTTTATAGCTTGCTTTTAGCAAGATTGTCCTGGTCTAAAACTACTCATGGTAAATAATTCTGGGATTTGTGGATTTATTTTTCAGACATGGCTGCCTAGAAAACAGCCCCTAGGCTATGAAAATGAGTCTGAATGGAGATGCTACTAAAACTAGTTCGTTTTCTCTGTGTAAGTGATATATATATGTTTATGCACATTACCCATGGAATCTTACCCTATCCTGTACTCGTACATGTCCAGGATGAAAAAAAAAAAAAGGACTTAGGGATCCATATTAATATTCTAGAAAAATCTCTCCATTTTGCCAGTATATCTTTGTCTACCAAAAGCCGCCACAAAGCTAAGCAGAAATAGTTACTTCCAGAGAAACAGCAGGATAAAAATGAGTTTGGACTTTATAGGTCAGAAAGGAAGAAAATGCTCAAGGAATAATGAGGCTTGTTAAAGAGATAAGGAGACCAGTTTAAAGGGACTCTTGTGACGTAATCTGGGACAATGTAGGATCAAAGAAATAATAGACTAACGCATTGAATAAAATAGGAACTCATTAGTCATATTAATATAAAACAAAGTGCACAAACAGAGAAGTGAGAATATTTTTTTCTTTACAATAGAAAAGGAAACTCCAAATGTAGATAGAGTAATGGAGTTAGAAAATCACAAGTAAGCAATAATCTTGAGTAAAAATAATTTAGGCAAAAAGCACTAATGGAGGCAAAATCTAGTGAGTGAAATTGTCAAGATCAGGATTTTATATACCCTTAAGTGTTTATCCACAAAATATTAATAAAGGAAACAAAACTAACGGGTTTGATAAACATTTATTACTAATGAGAAGTGATAAAAAGAACATAATATTGGTGATTTTACATCAAAATATGCACTGAGTAAATCCAACTTGAGAGATGACTTACAAAATGATAGATACACTCTTTTAAAACAACATAAAGGAAATGGTTAGGAATCATTCACTTGAAGAGCACTAGAAAGAAAGAACTTCATGTAATATGTGAATTTGTATTAGATATTTTTGCTGTAAAAGACTTCATTGGTACAATTGTGAAAAAAAATCTCTTACTGAAGGGTATATGGGAGTTGTCTCTGCTATTTATGAAACATTTTATAAATCTGAAACAGTTTGAGATTTTTTTCCTCAAAGAAAAAATTTGAAAGAGACTATTGGAGAGTACAACACAGATAGTCATAAATTAAATAGAAATAAAATTATCTACCAACCACTAATGTCAGATTCGGCTAAAGCTTTTTCTCAATTATACCATTATGAAACTAGTCAAGTGCTAATAATTGTCCATTTCCATTTGTTATAAAACTATGTTGTAATGACACTAAATTATGCAGTATTCATGTTCATAGAGAGAATTAGGGACACATTATTGCCTAAACAGTACCTGGAGAGACCCAACTGTGGCACCATTCATGTAAGTCCAAAACAGCAAGGTACATTTTGGTCCCGTGAGTGAAATAACAGGAGTGAGGATGTCAGCCAGGTCACCAAATTTCCCATTTGAACTGTCAGCATACAGGTACCAGCCATCTGTGGTATTTCTGGGGAAAAGATTTATCAGATTGAAACAGAAGAAGAAGATCTTAAAACATAACATAGCTTGCCACTGACCATGTTTTATTATCATACCATTTCTCCTAAAAGTACAAAGTTTTAGGAATAATTATGGTCTGTCATCTTCATCAGAAATAATTCTATCATTTTGATTTTGAATTCATGGTCCTTGTAATGAGATCTATTGGTAGAAGGTCTATAAATTATGGTAAAGGCTGAACTGACCAAATCAGTAATAAAGCGGTTAATATTTTTTAAACAGTGATGTTGTGAATATCCTCATCTGCCTTTAGAACTAATCTTTATGGGGGTAAATGAGGCCATGAAGAATGGAATACCTTTAGAAGACACATTAAAAAAAACACACACACAAATAAAAAGGCACGGGAAACAGAAATAAAACTGGCATTCAACTCATAAGTCTAAAAGGATTTTGGTTCAAAGTTATTCTCTCCATATTACTTTAGGAGGTAAGGCATGTTTTTTCTTTCCTAGGCCCAATGTTTAAAAAGGAAAAATATAAACAATTATATAAAAATGTGCTATTGCAATAAAAAAAGTTTACACCCCTACTTTAACTATCAATTTGAAAAAGAAACAATGAAACATTAAGACACACTAGGCTATACACAGGCTTTTAAAGTATTAAAGAAGCAATTCTTCATATTTTGAGACCAACTCTCCTGTTCTTCCTTTTATTAGCTTGGTTTCTTGCCACTTTCTAACCTAAGTACAGTTGCTAGATATACAAAGTTTAAATCCGCTATTTACTAAACCCATTTTAATTTGAAAGTTTTACCATTTTTTGAGAAATGTGAATTATTAATAGGAAATAGGTAGGAAAACAGTCATATTCATTCATTCATGACATATTTATTGAGTGTTCTGCCCTAACAGACTTGCCACTAGCTATCCAAGTCACTGGGGATATAATTGTCTGCAAAAGATTTGATGGAGCTTGGCCTCTGGCTTTGTCATTTACTAGATGGGCAACTTTGGGCAGGCTAACTTCTCTGAATGTATCCAGTTCTAATTTTTATAAGATGGGATAGTTCTGTTTAACATCTTACTAAGAATTAGAATTAAATATGTGGAACATCTAACACAGTACCTAGTTGATCTTAGCATTAAGTCAATGGGAATTGTAATTTGTATTTATGTTCAGATCATTAGTTGTTGCTAATGATATAAGTTTAGAGTCCTACAAATCACAAAGCATATGAGTTAAGACAGTTAAGAGAATGATCAGTAGGGTCACTATGTTAATTTGTCTATATTACATACATCTCAATGAAAAATCATTTTTAGCTTTATTCCTTGTGTGTTTAATATCCCAGTATCTCAATATCAAGAACAAAGACATATTTATACACTCAAGCAGGTAGAAGAAATGGAGATGATCAAGGAAATGAACTTGTGCATTTCTATATGTACATGACTCATTTAGTCTCAGAATCTTTCTGTAAGCAACTTGCAGAATTATTACAACTAAAATATTTTATTATAAAAATGATTTTAGAGTTACTGAAAATCTTCTACTATACAGCTTGTATTGTCCATACATCTCTAATTTTAATGCCACCATCTTAAAGCAAATGCATCTCATCTCTTGCCTAGAATGAGAAGCTTTGTAATGGGCCTTCCCACTTCTACATTTGATTCACTGCATCTATTCTTCACACATCACTTGGAAAACTCTTTTGAAAAATAGAAATTGAATCATATCCACAAATCCACTCCTTCAAACCTGCTAATGGTTTTGTAATAGACTTAAAATACAATAATAATATTTAATATGTCAAACAAATCTCTATAATACCTCTCCTCTGCCTCCCAATGGCTTCCCAATGTGTCCAATCAACTCTCCTGAGACAGTATTGCCTGACTCCAGCACAGCACTGTGTATGTGAATTGAAGGACTCATGTGTTTTAAATATGTCAGTTCTTCACCACTTGATTTACAGATCCATCAGGATCTCAACACACTCCCCCAAAATTTATTTTTCAGAATTTGGTAAAGTAATCCTAAATTTCAAATAGAAATACAAATAGAAAACAACAGGCCATCAATTTTATTTATAAGGAGAACAAAGCTGGAGGACTCAATGAGACTTAATAGGAACATTTAGTAATCAAATGATATGGTGTGTTTGTGCTTTGATCCAAATACCAAAGTAAAGGTACAAGGAAGTGGTCTTGAGTAAGGTCATTAAATCACCTTAATAGGATGACTGCTCTTATAAAAGACACCTGAGAGCACTAGATAGCTCCTTCACATATAAGGATGCAGGAGACACTGTCCTTCCCAAGGACCAGGAAACAGACCCTCAACAGTCAGTTTGCTGACTCTTCACCTTGGACTTCCCAATCTCTAGAACTATGGGAAATAAATGTCTCTTGTCTATAAGCCACCAGATTTTGGTATTTGATACAACAGCATGAGGACACTAAGACATTAAGACAACAAGAACAGAAACCCCAGGAACTGGAAGAAATAGTCCTATAACAGATCTGAATTTATCTGGATACTTATTTTAAGAAAAGTTTGGTTCATCAGAACAGTAAGGAAAGGATGATCTTTTTAGTAAATGAACTGAATACATTAGGTGTCCATGAGGGGAAAAAATTAACCTTGATCTGTATTTCATAGAATTCAAAAATAATAAATTCCAAGTAGATTATACCTGGAGGAAGGGAGATAAAACAATAAAGCTGTGTAAGATAATATAAAAATATGAGCATAATGTGGGAATAAGAAAGTTCTTTACAAGTATATGAAAATCACTAAGTATAAAAGGACATATTGAGAAAGGGGACTGCCATTAAAATAAGGATTTCTGATTTTCATATATATTAATGTGATGATCAAAAAGCCAATGAGAGTATGAATTCTCATTTTTCCACATGTACAGATTGCAGGATCACATTGGTTATACAGTCACGTATATACCTACAGTAATACTAGTGTCTGTTGTATTCTGTTGCCCTCCCTATCTCCTCTCCCCCCCACTCCCCTCCCATCATCTCTCTCTACCCAAACTACTGTGACACATTTCTCTCTTTTTTTTCTTCCCCCTTACATCAACATATATGTATTTTGTATAATGATGAGGGTCTCCTTCCATCTTCCGTGCAATTCCCCTCTTCCTCCCATTCCCTCCCACCTCTCTTCCTTGTTTAGTGGTAATCTTCTTCTATTGTATTGTCTTGAGCAACTAATAAAAAAATAAAAATTT